GAAGCTTCTTGGATGAGAGAAGAACGGAAGAAGCTTCTTGGATGAGAGAAGAACGGAAGAAGCTTCTTGGATGAGAGAAGAACGGAAGAAGCTTCTTGGATGAGAGAAGAACGGAAGAAGCTTCTTGGATGAGAGAAGAACGGAAGAAGCTTCTTGGATGAGAGAAGAACGGAAGAAGCTTCTTGGATGAGAGAAGAACTGAAGAAGCTTCTTGGATGAGAAGCGAAAGCTCTTCAAGGAAAAACAAAGTCCAGTGGCCTTTTGAAAAAACATCTTTGGGACAGTCGTGACCCGGATGACTGAGAACCTCCACAGATGTCTTCCATGCTTAGTGGAGGATTAGAAGAACATGGATTCCACCTTCCATACTTGACCGATCCTCACAGTGCTGTGAATGATCCGAAGGAGTTAAGGCGGCCTCTCTCCATCTCCCGTCTTCCAATCCTGCTTTCTGCTCTTGAGATGCAGCCTCTCAGAGGACTTCCATCCTTTGGGAATGGTTGATTAAGTCTTCTCTGCCCGGGTCCACCTCAGACCCCACTTCCTGCTCTTCCCAAGGAGGCTTAATGAACCATCCAGACCCCGAAAGGTAATTTCTTGATTGGCAGACCGAATCTCCAGCCGCAGAGATAATTGCGGACGCGCAAGTATTAAGCCCTCAGATCTCATTAACGCAGATCAGTCGGCGTTTTCCGAATTGGACATCTAAATCCATAATTAGGCTCCTGTTTAAGTAGGCTTGTTTTATTGGGGGGGGGGAAGAGGAGGACAAAGTGGGGGCAGGATCTCCCTTGGCTCCTGCTGAACCCGGCAGCCACAGTTTTGTTCTACATGAGTGCCCTTTGCGAATTGGGGTGTGCTTGAGAGCTGCTCCCCTCCTTTCACTGAATCCTTTATCGCAAGGGTCCCTGGCGCTCTCTGAGCTGGGTGGTTTTCCCGCAGACGTTTCATTACCCAACTAGGTAACGTCATCAGTGCCAGGAGGGAGAGGGGTTTACAGAGAGGAAGAGGAGAAGGAGGACTGTAGGGTCCTTGGTGCTGTCTGAGTTGGTTTGCTTTTTTATTCACACATTTCATTACCCAACTTGGTAGCATCATCAGTTCTAGGAGGGAGAGGGGTTTACAGAGAGGGGAGGAGGAGGAGGAAGAGGAGGAGGAGGAGGAGGAGGAGGACTGTAGGGTCCTTGGTGCTCTCTGGGCTTGGTTGTTTTCTTGCAGACATTTCATTACCCAACTAGGTAATGTCATCAGTACCAGGAGGGAGAGGGGTTTACAGAGAGGAAGAGGAGGAGAAGGAGAAGGAGGAGGAGGACTGTAGGGTCCTGGGTACTGTCAGAGCTGGTTTGCTGTCCCATTTTAAAATGAATAAATGAATGTAGTTCTTCAAGAGGGTCAGCCTGACCTGCCAGGTTTACGGGTTAGATTTTGCCAGCTTTGGGGAATTTCCTGGCCATGAAAGTCTCCTTGCTACCTGGGAGAAGAGACTCTCATTACTAAACTGCAGAGGAACCATTGCAGAAATTATTATTATTTTCATCTCCTGCTTGTGAACTTCAGAAAAGCACTTGATTGACCACAAAACCCTGGTCCTTCTCTGGTTTGGATCATGGTTTGGTGGCTAGGAATTCTGGGAGCACCCTTGGAGGGCCGGGAAGACGCTTCGATCCCACAAAAACGTTTCCAGGGGTGCGATGTCACCTGCTTGAGCCTCTTGGCGAGTTTTTTTTTTTCCTAAGTGGGTCCCTTGTCCGGCACATTTTGTCCGGCCCCGGAGCAACATTTAAAGGCGGCTAAGCTAAGATTCCATGGCCGGGATGAAGCCCAGACGGCAACTCCTTGCTCGCGACTCTCCAGCACGGTGCCGATGTACAAGTTTCCGCTTTCCCCGCCGATTCGCACACCTTTACACAGCAAACCGGCTTTCCCCGTGCAACCCATCACTCAGTCTTCATTGTCAAAGGCTTGGCAGGAAAATAACGAGAGATGCTAAATCTTTTATAAGGTCAACGTGCAAGCAGCAGCTGTCAAACAAGAAAAGAACTTAGCGGAGAAGACAACCCTCCTGGAGAAGCTGGGGGGGGGAAATACAGAAAGAAAGAAAAGAAAAGAAAGAAAGAAAGGAAGGAAGGAAGGAAGAAAGAAAGAAAGAAAGAAAGAAAGAAAGAAAGAAAGAAAGAAAGAAAGAAAGAAAGAAAAAAGAAAGAAAGAAAGAAAGAAAACATTGCTTATGAAGCCCACAGGCTCTGGGCCTGGCTTGGCTTGGCCAGGGGACGCCAAGGTGTCTCCGTTTTGTGTCAGTAATTTGTGGTGTCAGAGGAGAAGGGGAAAAAAAAAGAGGAATCATCCAGTGCCGAAGGGGCCAAGCTGGTGTCGGGGGAGTCATTAACACACCAGGAACGGCCTCGGTGCCTAATTGGAACCGCTGGGCATTATCAGCGGAGAATTCGCCTCCGCTCCTTGACAGCTTACGGCTTTCATGCCCTAAAATAATAGTCCACTTGTCAATGTAAAGGACCATTAAAAACAAACTGTTTTGATTTAATTGGCGGGAGGGGGCTGCGGGGGGGGTGTTTGCCAGGTGAGATACCTCATCAGCCTGCGGTGTGTGTGTGTTCCCCCCCCCTTAATTTTCCATTCCCCCCCACCCAGTGATGGTTGCTTTTCCCCCCACTCCTCTTTCTTCGCATTCTCTTCTTCCTCCACTCTCCTCCAGTTGGTTTCCAATCCTCATCCTTTCATAAACTGCCTGTGAGTTAAAACATCATCTCTACCAGGTTGCTTCCGATAGGATTGTCAACCGAGAACGCGACAGATGAGCAGGTCGCTTGGAGAGCGGGCTTTATAAACCTCAAATGTGGGTCTTGTGCTGGGGGAAAAAAAAACAAGCGAGCAAGCAAGCATGCAAGCCGGGACTATCGTGGTTGGCTTCCCACAACCCAGAAGCACAGATGTAAAAGAGGGGAACTGGGTTCCCTATGGCTTATGCAAATCCATGTGAAAAGGACCAGGGGTGATAGGATAGCAGTCTTCCAGTATCTCAGGGGCTGCCCCAAAGAAGAGGGAGTCAAGCTCTTCTCCAAAGCACCAGAAGGCAAGACAAGAAGCAACGGATGGAAACTAATCAAGGAGAGAAGCAACCTGGAATTAAGGAGAAACTTCTTGACGGTGAGGACAATTGACCAGTGGAACTGCTGGCCTCCAGAAGTGGTGGGTGCTCCATCACTGGGGATTTTTAGGAAGAGATTGGACAGCCACTTGTCTGAAATGGTCTAGGGTCTCCTGCTTGAGCAGGGGGTTGGACTAGAAGACCTCCAAGGTTCCTTTCAGCTCTGTTCTGATTGATTGATTAATTGATTGATTGAGGCCTGGGTTGCAGGAATTGGGTATGTCCAGTTTAATGAAGAGAAGGATGAGGGGGGACATGATAGTAGTCTTCCAGTATCTCAGGGGCTGCCCCAAAGAAGAGGGGGTCAGCCTATTCTTCAAAGCACCAGAAAGCAGGACAAGAAGCAACAGATGGAAACTATTCAAGGAGAGAAGCCACCAGGAATTTCCTGACAGTGAGAACAATTAACCAGTGGAACTGCTTGCCTCCAGAAGTTGTGGGTGCTCCATCACTGGTGGTTTTTAAGAAGAGACTGGACAGCCATTTATCCAGGATGGTCTAGGGTCTCCTGCTTGAGCAGGGGGTTGGACTAGAAGACCTCCAGGATCCCTTCCAACGCTGTTATTCTGTGAAAGATTCCTTTTTTTTTAAATCCAGAGGGAGCCATTAAGGAGTAATCTACTGTATCAAATTTTGAAGGATAGTTCTGGGCTTCGCAATCGGAGACTCCCTTGGGGAGAGTATCCACAAACATGAGCTCACCGCCTGACTTTTTTTTTTTCCCGTTAAAAGAAGAAGAAGAAAAAAAAACAACAGAAGACAAACACCTCCAATCTAACCAAACCGAAGACTTCTAAATTTGAGAAAATATTTTGCACTTCCCTCTGCTTCTCAGAGCGAGCGCTCCACTCCGTATCTTTTGAATTCAGCCTCTGAGAAAAAAAATGTCCTGGTTGTTAGTGCGACACTCGAACAGTTGATATTTTTGTTGAGATGATCCGGCATCCACATTCCCCTTAGACGAGCTGTCACAAGTTTGCTTGCTCCTTTTTAAATAATAATAATAATAATTTATTAAACTGATAGGTCCCTGGTTTCTGACTAGTGAACTCAACGGGAGAAATCAGATTCGCTTAAGGACCTTACGATTCGCTGAACGACTGCATCCATTTGCTAAAGAACCGTGGCCGAAAAGGTCAAAGGTTAAGCATGCACGATGTGCTTAAAATGGCTGTCTTGCTTAGCAACAGAATTTCTGTTCCGAGTTGCGGCCGTTAAGTTGAGGAGTGCCTATACAGATAGCCCTTGACTTACAGCACTTCATTTAGTGACCGTAATGGCACTGAAAACAGTGACTTATGACCGTTTTTCACACTTACGGCCATTGAGGCACCCCCTGTGGTCACGTGATCAGAATTCAAAAGCTTGGCAACTGACTCATATTTATGACGGTTGCGGCGTCCCGGGGTCACGTGATCCCCATTTTGCGACCTTCTGACAAGCCAAGTCAGTGAGAAAGCCAGATTCGCTTAACACGTAACGAATGGAGCAAAACGGAACAAAACTCGGTTAACAAATTTCTCACTTAGCCACATGGTGCGGGCGTAAGTCAAGGACTCCCTGTATTGGCCAGGTCCACAATCTTCTCTGACGAACACAGTGTGTGTCTATGCGAGGACATCCAGTTGTCGAGAAACGGATTCGCACCCTTGCCACCCGCAGAAGTCAGCCAAAGCGTTCGGACAACAAACGCCGGAATCTCGCAAGGATTTCGGCCGTTTAAATCTGAATTTACTCAGGGGATGGCTACTGGGTGGCCGGCCTCTGCCTTCCCGTTCAGAAGAAGCCCTTTTGAGGTCCAGACCCACCTTTTGGAAATGGGGGATACGCCAAAGTTCCTCCTTTTTCATTGGCGGCTGGTACTTCCTCAGCAGACAGGTCCGGGTCTCGTAGAATTTCCCCCGACGTTTCTAAAACAAATCAAACGAGCACGCCACACTTAGGTCACCAAAGGGAACGTGTGAAACATATAAATACACTGGTGCTGTATTTGTTTGGGGGAGACCAACCTCAACTGAAGAAATAAAGCGGTCCGCTCGCTAATGGGCCACAGTGGCGCCAGCCTGGCGAGGTGGGACAGGCAGGAAGCACATATGGAGAAGGGGCCCTTGTTTGCTTTCTGGAAGATGTTTTATGACCCAGCTAGGGAACATCATCAGTGCTAGCGGCACATGTGGATGAACTCTTTGATGAACTTTATCGTAAAGGTGCATTAACAGAACCTTGCAGAAACTCTATCTCTTCTCCCCCCCCTATCTTTACAGCTCACAAAACTAGGGAGGATCCCTATGGCGACATTGGTCACATCCCCAATTCTTCTACAGGCTCAACTTCCTCTTATCTGACCGTTGTCTAGTCTGTGGCTCTTCCACCTGTCTCACATGGTTATTCGCTGTCAGCCTTATCAGACAGACCAAACAGGAAGTACAATCGGCAGCACTAACTCTTAACTTTATTGCAAAGCTACGTTAACGGAATCTTGCCAGTCTGAAAGTCCATCTTTCCACCCTCTATTGAAGCTAGGGAGGGTCCCTTCTGAGTTGTTGGCCATGCCCTGGTTCCTTTTGTGGTTGCTGAGTTGCCTCTTATCCATCTGCTCTCCTGGCTGTGATTCTTTCTTCAGTCTCCAAGGCCATTCCCACATACCATTTCGGTGAGATGACTTGCTATCCCTGAATGGCCAGAAGTATTGGAAGCTTCTTCAAAGGATCTTGATCGCTGGTGGCTACTAACCTATTGCATGTTCTACAGACATGGTTGGGAAGAATATGGAAAATTGTTGAAGCATGGTCAGGAGAGCAGCAGTTTTGGAGACTTAATTGGGGACCCAAAGGTTTGGTTCCCATGCTGAATATTTGGAAACTAAGAAATCTTATCTCCCAATCATGTTTGCTTGATGGCTTCTCATGCAGATGAGATACTTCTTGAAGAAGATATCTGATTGTTTCTATTTATGCCACACAATTAGCATGCCACACATGCTGGGATCGTCATAACACATTTGATAACCAGGTCATTTGAAGACTTAACTTTTACTTTCAAAGGACATCAAAACAAGTTGCAAGTAATAAACGAAGAAGAATAAAAGAAATAAACACCATTAACTCCAAAGGACAAATGACAAAGAAACCCAAGAGATGTTTGCTGATTTTCTTCAGAAAGCAGTTCCATCAAAGGAGAGATCAAACTATTTAAACCAGAGTTTCTCAACCTTGACAACTTTTAAGATGTATGGACTTCAACTCCCAGAATTCCTCTGGTACCATGGTGGGAGGTGAAGTCCATGTGTGCTGGCTGGGAGTTGAAGTCCACGCATCTTAGGGCTCCTAAGATTGAGAAACAACGAAGTAGGGTTGTTTCCCTACATCAAGTTAAACCACCTTATGGGTTCTAAGTCCAAGAACTTGTCCAATGTGTGTACAAGAGAAAGGTCTTGAGAAGAGGGTCAGCAAACCAAAAGACCTTCTCAAAGTCATCCAACCTTTTGTTTCTTCTCAGCTTTTTCAGCTTTGATGACCGCCCTCTGCTCGTCCATCCAAATCTCTCTATATTTGTGCTGCAGAAGATCAAAGAAAGGCGTTGAAGGTCTGGGGAGATTTTAGAAGGAAAGGGAGAAGAAAGGATCAGTGACAATGACAAGAATGTCAATGACCTCACCATAACCGCAGATCACACTAAACCACCATACAGTGAGCTTGATCTTGGAAGCCCAACATCTGAATTCCCTACCTGCATCTTAATCAGAAAGTTTTCTTGGCCACGTCCATGGACTTCAAAGTATGGAACTTTGACTCCATCGGCCAAGTTATTATGGTCCTTTCTTTCTCCTCCTTGCCTTCTTTCCGTTTTAATTTCATTTGATACACAGCCTTATCCCTTACCTAATGAAGTGTTCTGATGACCTCAAAAGCTTGCTTGCTCCTCGGTAGACCAATACCTGGCCTCATAAAGGAAGCACTTGAACACAAACTCTGCAATTGTTCCTCCTCCTTAGCTTTACGACCCAAAAATGTCAAGGGCTCTAGCCAGTATTTTATTTTGTGGCCTTCCTGCATGCATGTCAATAGCTGCCCTTCTTATTTTGCTCCTGGCGTGACTTTTATCGCTAATGATGTCTTCCCACATGCTTTGGAGAGGCTTAATCTCTGCTCATGTTGGCTAATGATGTTATGAGCTTGATCAAGTGCTGTCCATCCCAAGGGGCTGCTCTTACAGAAAGGAATAGCTTCCCCCCCCCCATAAGTTGGGGGCAGGGTGCCACGGATCACACCAAGGCTGAGGCGTGCAGAATAGTTTTGGAGCCATCCCTCATCACCCAATGATTTAGCCCATCGTGAAGAACAGAGGGGCTGCCAGAAAGAAGAGGGGGGGAGGGGTCAACTTATTTTCCAAATCACCAGAAGGCAAGGCAAGAAGCCACAGATGGGAACCAACCAAGGAGAGAAGCAGCCTAGAATCGAGGAATTTCTTGACAGTGAGGACAATCGTGGTGACTTCTGTATGTTTGGTTCCACGTGTTCCTCACCCAATCTGCCTTCTCTGGATGACTGCTGGTCTGGGGACTGTGGCAAAGAGACAACCATTTAGATTCTGTTCTGGGTTGTGTTCCAGATCCTAGCCAAATTTCCTCTATTTGTAGATTCTGGTCCTTCATCCAACCTTGGTCTATATCTTGGGGTTATAGTTCAGACCTTCTGCATGTCTGTCTAGCTTCTTCCTATCTATCCATTCATCCTCTATCTGTCCATCTTTCTCTCTCTCTCCTTCCCTCCCTCCCTCCGTCTTATCTATCTATCTGTCATTATCCATCCATCCATCTTCTATCTATCTATCTATCTATCTATCTATCTATCTATCTATCTATCTGTCATTATCCATTCTTTCTTCTCTCCATCCATCCATTCATGCATCCATCCTACTTATTTATCATTTACCTGCCTATATCTATCCATCTTTCTCTCTCCTTCCTTCCCTCTCTCCATCTTATCTATATATCTGTCATCATCCATCCATCTTATATCTATCTATCTATCTATCTATCTATCTATCTATCTATCTATCTATCTATCTATCTATCTATCTATCTATCTTGATTATTTCTTCTCTCCACTCATCCCTTCATCCATCCATCCATTCTAGTTATTTATTGTTTAGCTGTCTGTTTCTATCCATCTTTCTCACCCTCCGTCCCTCCATTCATCCATCTCTCTCTCTCTCTCTCTCTCTCTCTCTCTCTCTCTCTCTCTCTCTCTCTCTCTCTCTCTCTCTCTCTCTCTCTCTCTCTCTCTCTCTCTCTCTCTCTCTCTCTCTCTCTCTCTCTCTCTCTCTCTTTCCATCCGTTCACCCACCCATCTTGTTTGGAAGACGCTCGGAAGAGAAGAATTCCCCACTGAATCCCTTCTCATTAGACCCTCTAAAATGTATTTATGCAGGCTTTCAAAACTATTCCCTTTCACCAGGCACCTATTCCTCCCCTCCTTTTGTATTTTTAATAAACTCCTCTGCTAAATAATTTTCAAGAGCTAGGAAGTCCTTAGCTGAGGCACTTAAAACCCTCTTCCACCTGGTTGTAGCAGCAAAGACGTTGGGAGTGAGCTTTGTGGAAACCTACCTGCTTTTTTTTTTTTTTTTTTGCTTTTTTTTTTTAATGAGCTCCCTTTCGCTGCCAAATAATGTGTTTTTTTTTAAGGGGAAAAAAAAAGCCGTAATAAACTATTAACGGTATTTTAAAATCAAAATTGCAGGAGCTTGAAATGAATGACAAACTCTTCCATTTTTTTTTAAATAGACGGGAAGAAGGTAGTTTTTTTCCTCTCTCTCTCTCTTTCTCTCCCCTCCCCTCTTCTCTCTAAAAATGGAATCCGAGATGAAAAGAAACAATCGTTATAATTTGCAAATAGGAGGCTGACACTTTTTGGGGAGATGTACACGTGTTCCATCCTGACAGGTCTTATTCGCTTTTGGGGCAGAACCGTTCTCTATGGGGATTAGAACAGAGTTTCCCCACTGACGGGTCCGTCACAGCCTCGCAGCTCATTAAAACTTTTTTTTTTTTCAATTTTAATTTTTTGTTTTCTGGAACGGAGGACGAAATTTCCCAAGGAACATCAGAGTCTTCTAAGGGGGTTTCAGAAGATGGAGGGGGGGGGTTGAAAAGGGTTCCAGGGGGAAAGCCTTGGGTGTGACAAACCACATTTTAGTTACACCTCCCGGTGCCCAAGCGGGCAAAATAATTGGTCATCAGTGGGTGCTAATTTGAAAGAATAGCCAGAGGCTGTTATTTTTTTTTTCTTTCTTTCCTTTCTTTTTTCTTAAAATTCCTGGGAAATCGGTGACAGCAGAGAAAGTACTCATCTCCAGAGGATGGGTGTTGATGCTGCCAGCTTCAGAAGAGACAGCGGTTTTGTTAAAATTAAAACCTCGGTAGGAGAGGAGAACGTCGGAGGAGCGAGGTGAGCTGGGAACAAACGTAGCATCACAGCACTCGGGAGCAAGGAGGTGTCAGCTTCCTCTGAAAACTTTCACGACGGCACAACTTACAAAACGCATCTTTTCAGACCTGACAGTCGAGGCCTGAGTTGATGGCATAGGCTGGCTGTTCCTGGCCCAGCACAGAGATAACCCAGAGCAGATGAATCCCAAGAAAGAGGAATTGAGAGGTGACGACGATAGGAAACTAAGCGTGGCCTGAACAAACTTTATTTATGTTGNAGAAGAAGAAGAAGAAGAAGAAGAAGAAGAAGAAGAAGAAGAAGAAGAAGGAGAAGAAGAAGAAGAAGAAGAAGAAGAAGAAGAAGAAGAAGAAGAAGAAGAAGAAGAAGAAGAAGAAGAAGAAGAAGAAGAAGAAGAAGAAGAAGAAGAAGAAGAAGAAGAAGAAGAAGAAGAAGAAGAAGAAGAAGAAGAAGAAGAAAAAACAACAACACAACAAGGTTGTTCTGGGTAAACGACTTTGACCAAATTATCTTTTTAATTACAATCGATCTAGCGGCAAGCAGTCTGGGGAGATTCTTGTAATTTAGGTAGAAGTCAATAAAGTTGCTGATTTCAGCTACAGGCAGTCCTCACCTTATGACTACCTGCATTCATGAGTGTCTTAAAACAAATGTATATGGCTGTCCAACTCACAAATGGGGACTCTGGACAGCTTACGGACAGACAGACCCCTGGCACTGTGAGTAGATTCAGGGAGGATTTTTTTTTTATAAGCTTCCAAAATTTGTGACATCTCTCTTGGTGTTCTCCTTTTTTTGGGGGGGGGTTATCCATTCTGCAAATCCTAAATCAAGCGCAATGCACAAATTAGTGGTGACAGCGGTTGTGCCCAGAAAGAAATAATTCTCTGTTGAATTGACCGTCCTTAAATCTGGGGGGAACTTGACACCAATCCTATTTTCCGGCTGGTTGGAACTGCAGGAGAAGTCTAGGCTTCCATCTGACTTCCTCTTCCTCCTCTTCCTCCTCCTCCTCCTCCTCCTTCTCTTCTTTTTCTTTTCTTTTTTTCTTCTCTTTTCCTTCCCCCCCCCTTCTCTTCTAAGTGTCTGGAGACTAAATTGTATGATGAACAGTTGAGGGAGCCAGGTATGTCTGGTCTACGGAAGAGAAGGATTAGGAGGGAGATGACAACTGCCTTCTAATACTTGAGGGGCTGTGGCAGAAAAGAGGGGATCGATTTATTCTCCAAAGCTCCAGAGGGCAAGACAAGAAGCAACGGGTGAAAACATGTTAAAGAGAAACCCAACCTAGAATTAAGGAGACCTCTCCTGACCAGGAGAACAATTGATCAGTGGAATGGCTTTACTTTTGGAAGTTCTCTGCATCGTGGTGACCAGAACTAGACACAGTATTCCAGGTCTGGCCTTACCAGCCCTTCTTCCAAAGGAAACAGATGTGCTTCCGATGGTGTGTGTGGGAGAGACAAGCCACTTCAACCATCTCAAAAGCCGATGAATGGAAGCCATGCGCTCAACATGGAAGTCCCCCTTCCCACAGAAGAACACCTGGCAGCCTGCTTGCAAACCAGGCCAGCCGGGAGAAAGAACCTTGGGTTGCAAAAACCTGGTTTTGCACCAGGCGACCCTTGTAAAGATCAGAAACTGGTGCGCCACCTGATTGGAGAGACCCCCTTGGGGTCTGCGGGGAAACTTACCTCTTCCTCGTTAGTGCTGACCTTGGTAGGCTGATGAATAGGCTACGATCCCCTGATCAGACTCTGGGGAACAGCCACATTATCTGCTATCCTCCCATCTGTGTATCCCTCGCCCCTCCCGGCTTTCATCCCTGGCTATAAATCTCTGTCCAAAACTTAAGAGGAAAAGAAGGAGGGAGGGGGGGAAGGATGTGAAAAATGTCCTTTTTATGAGAGCTCCTGACAAAAGCCAGCCGGGAAGGAAATCAGAAGGAAATCAAAGAGGATTGCAGGTTGGGATGAGAGGCAAACACCGAGCAAGGAGTGAAATGGGTAGAAATCAGAGCTAGCCAGGAAGGCTCCATTTTAGAATAACCTGGTTATTTCAAAGTAAACAGCGAAGAGGAAGATAACTTGATAAAAAAAAAAAAAAAGCGATGGAGAAGTTAGAAAAACAAGAGTCACAAAATCGGAAGGGACCCTGGAGGTCTTGTAGTCCAACCCCCTGCAGGAGACCCTATAACATTCCAGACACATGGCTGTCCAATCTCTTCTTTAAAAGCTCCAGTGATGGAGCACCCACACAACGCCTGGTGGCAAGCAGTTCCACTGGTTAATTGTTCTCCCTGTCAGGAAATTTCTCCTTTGTTCCAGGTTGCTTCTCCCCTTGCTTAGTTTCCATCTGTTGCTTCTTGTCCTGCCTTCAGGGGCTTTGGACAATAGGTTGACCCCTTCTTCTCTGTGACAGCCCCTTAGATATTGGAAGACTGCTATCATGTCACTCCTAGCCCTTCTTTTCATTAAACTGGACATTCCCAATTCCTGCAACCCATGCTCCAATCAATCAATCAATCAATCACTCAATCAACCAATCAATCAGAATAGAGCTGGAAGAGACCTTGGAGGTCTTCTAGTCCAACCCCCTGCTCAGGCAGGAGACCCTATAACATTCCAGACAAATGGCTGTCCAATCTCTTTTTGAAAACCTCCAGTGATGGAGCACCCACAACTTCTGGAGGCAAGCAGTTCTTGACCAGTTAACAAGAAGGACGTCCTTTAAAGAAGAATCAAGGTCCAACTAAGAGAGGAACTAGTGAAAGGTAGGTAACGAAGAACAACAGGGGGAGAAGAAACACACTCGGGAAGTTTATGACCTTCCGACGATAGTACAGTGGGGATCAGGAAGAGAAGTAATCTGATCTGTAGGGGTTAAGGTCGTTGGCAGGAAAATATGTCGTAGCCTCCAGCCCCCTGATCATCTTTACGGCTCTTCTCTGCACTCTTTCTAGAGTCTCGACATCTTTTAGCCCGCATTTTTAGCAGCGTTCGGGCTATCAGCTCCTAAATTTACCAACCCAGAATGAGGGGTTAAACTCTCCTTTCTCCCTCCTCCTTCCCATTCTCTTTTTAAACCCAAAGTGGCTGTAATAATCCAATAATTAGCTTTGATCTACACCCTGTTTTTAAAGTGCGGGAATAAATACCCCAGGCCAGCCCACTTAAAAGGGAGCGATTAAAGAAGATCGGAGACGGACTCTAATAACTGGAAAATGAACAGCTCCCCTCTTTTTTCCCCCCAGCTGTTGGGCAAAATCTTTGCCATTTTTTTCCCTGGGTTGGGATGGATGTCCCGTGTGTTATTTATTAATATGAAAACAAGACTGTTGGGTGTTGGGCAGTCACTTAACCTCCGTTTATGAAGAAATAAGGAAAATTGGGAGCCGGTTCTGCGGGGCCGGTTGTGCGGGAAATCAATTGCTGTCGCGGCTTAAAAGCTCTTTGTTTGCCCTCGAACCGACAATCCTTGTCATAGCCATGATGGCTTAGTTGTAATCAAGATAAAGCTTTATGGCCAGGGCTTTGGCGGCTCTGCATTTTCATATGGCTGCAATTAATGTTAATGCGGGCGATGAAAATGGTCATTAAAGACCATTTTAAAATCCATCGCATTTGCATATGCAAATCGGTGCCATTTGCTGGCGGGTGGCCTCTTTAATCACCCCCTCCGCCCGCAAATAATCTTTTCCCTCTTGCTTTTTTTTTTGGTCCTTTTATTTAAAACAAGGAAAATAAAATCTTTAGTGCCAATTAGCTTTTTAAAATGAAATCTATCACCAAGCACGCTCCCCGGGAGCAAGGGCCCCGGAGGAGCCGGGAATTTTACACGAGAATTTTACAAAATAATTATTTCAAACCTTCCCGTAGCTAAGCGAGCCGGTTATCAAGTGGCTTTCGCTCCATTTTACGACCTTCCTTCCTTTCTCGCCACTGCGGCTAAGCAAATCGCTGCTAAATTAAGTTGCAGCCCGGTCGTTGAGTGAAACTGGCTTGCCCCGTTGACTTGGCTGGTCAGAAGGACGCAAGATGGGATCCACGTAACCGCCGAGACGCTGCGACCGTCACAAAGATAAACAAACCCAGTTTTGATCTACGACGGTCATAAGTGCGAGGACTGGTTGTAAATCTTTTTTTTCCCCATGCTGTTGTCACAAACGGATGGTGACTGTCAGCCGAGGACTTCCTGAAGTTCTGCCTCCTAGCATTTTCATGCTTTTATTTAGGAAACCTTGGACACCACACCAAACACAACGCAACGCAATGCACACACCCCCAGATGTTCCCTGTACCTCCAAGAGGAGGTAGAACGATTGGAACGCTTCATAAATGAAAAGGAATTTCAAGAAATGATTGGATTCAGCTCTCCACCCCAAATCCTTTGATGGGGAACCCTCTGCCTCTCACCTTGCTGGCCTTCCATAGGTCATGTCTGGAGGGACTTTGGGAGGGGTCCTCTTGAAGCGGCGTTCGTCCTCCACGTTGACATGGAAGTCCTTCATCTTGCGGTACAGGTTCTGCTCGTGGACCGTGACGTAGCCGTCCTTGACCGCGTGAAGGTTGGTGGCCAAGTAATCGCGGGGTTTCTCCTTCTCCAAAATAATTCTGGGCTTCATGACGTGCCAGTGGCAAATGGCTGGGAAAAGAGGAGAGGTTGAGAAGACATCAGGGACGTTCAAAGGAGGCACCTCAGAAAGCAAGGAAAGAAGAATTGCAGAAGAACAGAGTTGGAAGGGGCCTTGGAGATCTTCTAGTCTAGTCTAACTCCCTGCTCAAGCAGGAGACCTTATACAATTCCAGACAAATGGTTGTGCAATCTCTTCTTAAAAAACTGGAGCACCCACAACCCCTGGAGGCAGGTTGTTCCACTGATTAGTTGTTCTCACTGTTAGGAAATTCCTCCTTAGTTCTAGGTTGCTTCTCTCCTTGATTAGTTTCCATCCGTTGCTTCTTGTCCTGTCCTCTAGTGCAGGGGTTCCCAAACCCCTGGTCTGTGGACCGGTACTGGGCCACAGCATGCCAGCAACCAGGCCACACAAAGCCCCATTCATGGGATGCAGGCAGCACACAAAACCATGTACCTTCCAGTCCGTGGAAAAACCTCTCTCCACGGAACTGATCCCTGGTGTCCAAAAGGTTGGGGACCTCTGCTCTAGTGTTTTGCAGAATAGGTTGACTCCCTCTTCTCTGTGACAGCTCCTCAAATATTGGAAGACTGCTATCATGTTACCCCTAGTCCTTCTCTTAGTTGGACCAGACATACCTAGTTCCCCTAAACATTCATGGTAGGTTTTAGCCTCCAATCACCTAAGCATCTTTGTGGCTCTTCTCTGCCCTCTTTCTAGAGTTTCAACCTCTTTTTTGAAATCAAGAGGTAGACGCTTTCTTGAGTTGAAGCTGGGTGAAAAACACAACCCAACATTTCTCCCATTCTTGGTGGTGGAAGGGACCTCTTTTGCATGCCCAGATCTAGACGTGATCCGCACGATCAATTAGCTTACCTTCAGGGACCCCTCCATCCATTCCGTGTAAATACAATCCATAGTTAAAATCATAACCCGGAAGAGTGTAGTTACTTCTGCGGGGTCTCCCCAGTTCTGGCTGCAAAAGAGAAATACAAATTCATTGGCGAGTTATCCATCGATGTATATTTTTTTGCAAGCCCCAATCTCTAGGATTGTATAGGTAGTCCTCAACTTAACGATCACAACTGGGATCAGAAATTCCATCGCTAAGCAAAGAACTATTGTTAAGTGAGACAGGCCCAAATTTTCAACCTTTTTTTTTGGCTAGGCTGGTGAAGCAAATTGGTTTGCTAAGTGATTGGCATGTTTGGGGGAAAGCATTTTAGTCAACACTAGAATGGAATGGAATGGAATGGAATAGAATAGAATAGAATAGAATAGAATAGAATAGAATAGAATAGAATAGAATAGAATAGAATATAGAATAGAATAGAATAGAATAGAATAGAATAGAATAGAATAGAATAGAATAGAATAGAATAGAAAGTAGAATAGAATAGAATAGAATAGAATAGAATAGAATATGGAATGTAGAATAGAATAGAATAGAATAGAATAGAATAGAATAGAATAGAATAGAATAGAATAGGGAATGGAATAGAATAGAATAGAATAGAATAGAATAGAATAGAATAGAATAGAATAGAATATGGAATGGAACAGAATATAGAATAGAATAGAATAGAATAGAATAGAATAGAATAGAATAGAATAGAATAATAATAGAATAGAATAATAATAATAGAATAGGAACAGAATAATAATAATAGAATAGAATAATAATAATAATAATAATAGAATAGAATAATAATAATAGAATAGAATAGAATAGAATAATAATAGAATAGAATAGAATATGGAATGTAGAATAGAATAGAATAGAAAGTAGAATAGAATAGAATAGAATAGAATAGAATAGAATAGAATAGAATAGAATAGAATAGAATATGGAATGTAGAATGTAGAATGTAGAATGTAGAATGTTTTCTGAGGGTTTGGTTGTAGCCTGATATGTGTGTTGCCTATTACCTATGTTTTTCACGTCCTTTTTAAAGAAAAATTGGAATGGGATGGAATGGAATAGAATAGAATGTAGAATAGAATAGAATAGAATAGAATAGAATAGAAAGTAGAATAGAATAGAATAGAATAGAATAGAATAGAATAGAATTGGAAGGGACCTTGGAGGTCCTCTAGTCCAGCCCCCTCCTTGAGCAGGAGACTACTGGCAGCCCAGCAGAAAGAACCCACCCAGAAGTGTCGAAATGAAACAAAGTAGTTGTGGCTGGACAAAGTTCCCGTGCTTCTTTGAGCAGCTTTTCACAAGGGGGCCAAGTCAGGAAAAGATCAATGGTGAACAAGAAAAAAAGTTGGCCGGGCTAAGGCAAATATGTCAGAGTTGAAGGAAAGACTTTAATGAAGCTTGAAGAGACACAACAAGCTAGTAACCTACGGACCGGGGTTTTATTTAGTTTTCAAATTAACTCCCTTTCTTTCCCCCAGGTGTCCCCCCCAACCCCCGGGGGCTTTGCAGTGTCTGTGGGATTCCTTGACCCTTGGTTGTCCTTTGTGTCTTGACCGAGGTCTCCATGGCGAAGCCAGGCAGAGATTAACTGGCTTTGCAAGTTTCGGCCTTTTCGACCAAAATTGAGGAGAAGAAGTGAGGTTGGGACGGCCCGCCGACAGAGTGGGTGGGAACCCAAGAGGCCATTTTTTCTCTCTAAGCTCCGATTTGGTCAACGCACAATGGAAAATCGGTTTTGTTTCTTTTCTCCCCCCCCCCCACCTCCATTGGTTTAAGGAGGTTGCAAATCCCTCTGCCAAAATGCTTAAAATGTCTTTCCAGTTTTTGCTCCGGCAATTTTCAAGACGAGCCCACCCACAGGTTGTTAAGGAACAGACTCACAAAACTCTGTGTCAGATAAGGACTAAAATCTCTCGAAAGAAAGAGAGAGAGAGAGAGGGAGGGAGGGAGGGAGGGAGAAAGAAAGGAAGAGGAAGGAAGGAAGGAAGGAAGGGAGGGAGAGAGAGAGAGAGAGAGAGAAAGAAAAAAGAAAGAAAGAAAGAAAGAAAGAAAGAAAGAAAGAAAGAAAGAAAGAAAGAAAGAAAGAAAGAAAGAAAGAAAGAAAGAGAAACAGAAAAAAAAACCACCAGAAAAGAGGGACTGGCCTAACACGATGGGATCAAATCCTTTTTTAAAAAAAAAACCCGGAAAAATCAAAGTTTAAAGAGGTATCGGACCGTTGCCAGCACGCAGACGTTAGGCGAAGCTGTGAGTCCAGGCGGTCCTCGACTTACGACGTCTCTGTTGCTATTCAAAGCGGTCGTTAAGGGAAACAACCTGGTTTCTTAGTCTGGACTTCCGGTCCCTGCCTTAAAAAATCATTTTTAAAGTCTTTGAAAAGACTGGGCAGCCATTTCTCTGAAATGTGTCGCCGTTCTCCTTGCTGGAGCAGAGAGGGTCAGACTAGATGACCGCCAAGGTCCCTTTTCAACTCTTGTTATTCGATGTCTGTCTGTCTGTCTGTCTAAAGTCAAGTTGGAGGTTTTTGTTTCTGTTTTTTCTTCCTAGCCCAAAAGGTTAGGGAAAAATAACCACCGCCACCAAATCCTGATCAAATTACACCCTCTTCTGTTTTTCCGTTTTTAATTTAGCCCTAAAAGCAGATGGCCTCCCACCCAGCCTTGATTCCATGTAGGATTTCCCCTTCCCTGGGTAGAACCGGCGTTCTTCCGTCCCTCCACGGCTCTCCTCAGGAGCGGATAACTTCATTAAAAGTCATTAAACCTCATTAAGATGTTATTTCGCCGGCCTTATTTCCCACCTCACCATTCTAATTAAAACCGACTCCGTGTATTCTTGGAAGATACCCCTGTCCAGTTTTCCCTCTGTGGAGAGATTCTCTGGTTTTTTTCCCCCACGTTTGGGCAAGGAGGACCCCAAGCATCTCAACTGGGTTCATGGAGCTTCCTTTGGAGGTGTCCCCTCCGTCATCCGCCCTTGTTGAGAAGCCACCAAACAAATTTAAAAAAGAAAAAGAAAGAAAAAAGGAAAGAGGGGAGATAAACTTAATTCCAATAAGTTGAGCAAGTGAGAGTCAACAATATTTTTTTCCCTTCCCGCGGGAAAATCAAAGGGGGGGGATGGTGGTGGAGAAAAAACGAGAGTGCTGTCTATGGATCGGTCCCTCCTTGACCAAAGCACCGATGACAATCCAGGCAGCCCTCAACTTACAACCACAATGGACCTCAACCTTTCTGCCGCTGAGCGAGACATCCGTCGGTAGGCGTTCTGCCCCGCTTTACGACTTTTCTTGCCCCGGTTCTTAAGGGAATCGCCGCGGTTAACACGGTTGTTAAGTTTAATCTGGGCTTCCCCTGTCAATTTTGGGGGTCAGAAGGTCACCCAAAAAAAGGGAGGGGGATCACACACACACACACACACACACACACACACAGAGGACATTTACAACCGTCGTAAATAGGAACCGGTTGCCAAGCCTCCGAATGTAAATCACGTGATCCTGGGGAGGCTGCAACGGTCGTTAAGCGTGAAAAACTGTCCTTTTTTCCCCCCCAGTGCAGTTGTAACTTTGAACAATCTTGTTGGGGGATCCCCTCTGCCTGGGGGGGGAAGCAAAAAAACCCCCAAACTTCCAGGAAAGCATACATTTTTTATTAAGGATTTTGAGTACTGGGCACTTTACCATTCCTCCTTTGGGACTTATTTTGTTGGGATTCTTGGAAAGGCTTGGAAATATCTCCCGAGGACAAATGCGGCATTCACGATCATGTCTTGCTCCTTTTAAATATGGGTTTTCACGTAAAAAAAGAGACGTGCGTCCCCCCTCTTACCCGCCACCCCATGCTTTAAAACCCCTCATCACCCTCCCATTACAATGATTACCCTTGACGTAGGGGTCTTGGGGAGCAGAGCACTTCCAGGGATCTCCTGCCCCCCTCCAACTGCTCTCTCCTCTTTGACAGCCCCCCCAGCCTGCCCCCCCCACAACCCACAGCTTGATCTCCAGCTTCTCATTTGCATTTACATGATCTCGCTGTGCGGCTTAAGAGATGGATTTATTTGCTACTTAGCGTGATGTTTGATTACCTTGGGGGGGGAAGGCGCTCGGCGACAATACACCGGGGAGGGAGGGAGGGGGGGTCACGGGTGGGCTGCGTTGGGTTGAGTGGCCTTGGGGGGGGGATAGAGGAACGCCACCCATCCACTCTGCGATAGATCAAGTTTGGGGGTGTTTGCAGAAGGGACGACAGTTTTGGGGGGGAGTTTACAGAGAAAGCCAGTCCTCTGAGTGCCTTATTGTAAGAAAGTGATGGCGCATTGAGAGAGATCTTAAAAGGAACTCTGTCAAGGTAGAAGAAAGATGCGGAGACTCTGGAAAGGGTGCAGAGAAGAGCAATGAAAACGATCAGGGGACTGGAGGCCAAAACATACAAAGAAGAGAGTTGAAGAGAAGGACGAGGGGGGACATGATAGCAGTCTTCCAGTATCTCAGGGGCTGCCCCAAAGAAGAGGGAGTCAAGCTATTCTCCAAAGTGCCTGAAGGCAGGACAAGAAGCAACGGATGGAAACTAACCAAGGAGAGAAGCAACCTAGAACTAAGGAGAAACTTCCTGACACTTAGAACAATTAACCAGTGGAACAACCTGCCTCCAGAAGTGGTGAATGCTCCAACACTGGAAGTTTTTAAGAAGAAACTGGACAGCCATTTGTCCGAAATGGTGTAGGGTTTCCTGCCTGAGCAGGGGGTTGGACTAGATGACCTTCAAGGTCCCTTCCAACTTTACTATTATTATTATTATTATTATTATTATTATTATTATTATTATTATTATTATTATTATTATTATTATTATTATTATTATTATTAAGAGCGGTTGCAGGAACTGGGCCTGTCGAGTCTAGGGAAGCGAAGGGCCAGGGCTGACGTGAGAGCAATTTTGACTTCCAAAATGCCAAACGTTGAATGATCTGCTATCCCGAAATTGTTCAAAAGTTGCATTTACTTAAACAGATTGACTTTGAAGGAGGTGATGGTCTAGCCTAGTGCTTGA